AAGAATCCATTTTCAAGTTGTTATCTAAAATTCATGTGAGAAAATAAAAAATAGCATTTCTTCCATTCTATGACACTGATGACAGGTACATTTTGATTTTTGAAAACCCATGTAGAATTGTTGAGGATATTGAGTCTTCATGATTTTTTACTCGCATGTTACTTTTTAAAAAAGTAGGCCTCCAGATCAGATAACGTCTTCCACATTTTCTTGAGCTACGCTGTATGACATTATACTCTCACTAAAGAAGTCACCTTTCCTGATCAGTCTATGGGAAAGACCTCAGAGAAGTTAGTTTTTCTTTGAAGGAATTCTATGTGTTCTTCTTGAACAGTCTAAGAGGCTAAAGTCCAGAAATATAATTGGAAGGCAATTTTATTTATATTTATTTATTTATTTTTTAGGCTGTCTCATCCTGTCACCCAGGCTAGAGTGCAGTGACACGATGTCGGCTCACTGCAACCTCCACCTCCTGGGTTCAAGCAATTCTCCTGCCTCAGCTTCCTGAGTAGCTGGGGTTACAGGCATGTGTCACCATGCCTGGCCAGTTTTTGTACTTTCAGTAGTTGAAATTTTGCCATGTTGGCCAGGCTGGTCTCAAACTCCCGGCCTCAGGTGATCCGCCCGCCTCAGCCTCCCAAAGTGTGCAGATTACAGACATGAACCACCATGACCAATCTGGAAGGCAATTTTAAATATTCTTATTGAGTAGCTAATTTATATGTACATTTAGGAATAATTAGTAGAGGATGTAGAAAATTTTCAATAAAAGCATGAGAGCAGTCCTCCATGATGAGGTGGAGTAATCCTCCCCTCCTTGGTTGGATTGCATTGCATGTCTTAGGGAGAGAGTCTTCTGTTTCACAAGTGCTGAGTCTCGTTTTCAGCCTTTCTCATCCATAGTGGACTTTCTCATGGCTCAGTTCCAGTTAATATAGAAAAGAGTAAGTGTTGTGAAAATTTTGTACTCAAAGGCTGAAAAGTTTTCTTACAAATATTTTGAATTTTTTAAAAGAGAATCTTAACAGCAGCAAATAATTCATCTTTATGAATTCATCTTTTTTCCCTCATGAGAATTCAATGTGCTGTATGAAGAACATATGAAATTCTTATTTTGAGTGGAAGTACTGAGACTTGGCTGGATAAGTGACTTGCCTAAGGTCACTCAGCAAGTCTCACAGCATATAACACTCACATTCTCAGCCTCTAGTGCTGTACTGTTGTATATATAATAAAAAGAGAAAGGAAAACCTTTTTGTACTTCTGCAAAGAAAAAGGAACAGCTAGGAATGCACATGTGTGTCCTTTTAAACTCTCTACATGAAAATCCATCTTTTCCAGGAAGCCCTCTCTTACTGGATATACATATGTGGGAGATTCTAAAATCTTTCTAATAAGTGTCTGTTTTTGCTTTAATTTTATTTTAGGACTTATGGTTCTAGAAAGCAGATATATATTTGATCTCTGCAGTACTAAAGCTATAGTTATTTATTAGACAAATGTCTGGAGGAGAAGCAAGGGAGAATATATGACTGCGAGACTAAACAGGCCGCTGAAGGAAGCCGTGAAATAGGTCCTTGCTGTACCATACCACTATTTTTCTCTGAAAATACCTTTACCCCTTGCGCTCTGCTATTCTAGGCCTAGGACCTTTTAAAAGTTTCTTCCTCAACAATGTCTCCTTTATTGATACAGTTTAGTCATCTACCAACACCTACATAACTTCATTTGGCTTGATATTTTTTTCTAAGCATTCTTTATCTTGTTCATGTGTCTGCTCAGTACTTTCAATTCAATGATATATCTTTTTTCATTAATTTTTTTTGAAATTCCACAAGACTAAACATACCGTTCCACACAGAGCAGGTAGTCAATATGAATTTGTTGATTGATTGTAATATGATATAAATCATGGGCACAATAAATTACTTGGCTACATACAGAATTCTTACAACTCTCTCTTCTGTGTGGAGATGGGATAGAACCAGAAGGGTATGTCTGTGTAGGCCACATGTCCCGGTTCAGGGAGTCCCACATGAGGAACATGGTCTTACATGGTAAAATTGAGTTACCTTTAGTAATAGCAGCAACTTATATATGTATAGCTCCTGGGATTTCAAATATATTTTATACCTATTAAGTCACTTGATTTGGGAGTCAATATATATTAACTTCATGTTATGACTGAGGAAACTCATAGGAATTTGGTGATTGTTCTTGTTTGCATCTTGCACGTAGTTGAATCTCAAAACCAGTATTTTGTTTGTTTTTTCTTTAACCTCTTGGTCTGATGCTCTTTCTAACCCGCCAGGCTGCTTCCTTCATTCCTTAAAGCTAACACTGCAGTGGTCAGTTTGTGAATCATCTTGGAATACCATCCCTGCCTTAATTGATATTTGCAAATACTCTGAACAAAGAGAGCCCCACCACTACTATATGCCCTGCATCTCCTGGCATAATAAACTTGTATCCTGAAATAAGTCTTAAAGAACCACACGTAGCTCAAACGTTGTACTCTGAACATATTGAGCTCTTGTGCATCATTTGCCCAGCATGAACCAAAAGGAAGTTTAGTGTAAGCTTCTGGGCCAACTGACCTACCAGAAGGAAGATTATAACATACTTTTCCTTTTTCTCGGAATTGGGAGGGTACATTTAGTAGCAACTTTCTGAAGGAGCAGAAAGTCCAATATCTATGAAATTGTCAAAAATGATTAGCTAGTAATACAAAATAGTCATTACCATAATGTGTTTTCAGAGCAACATGCAATAATAAGGTATTTTTAAAAAACTCTTTAAGCCACATGGAATTCTTGGTGGGCTAACTTCTCATCTACCCTCAATGGCACCACCTCCGCCATACCATTTGTGGTACTTCCTGTTTTGTTTTGTTTTTAAGGGTTGGTTTAATTTCAGCTAGGTTAGACTCCATAGTCTCAAATCTCTTAGGGAGCAAGATCTGACTTAGATCCTTCCATTGAGCCCTGTTACATGCCTACTCTTCGCTGTACAGATCCAGTCTTGCAGATTTAGTGGAGATCATTACCAACCATAAATTTTATGTGCATTAAAGGTAGTTTTCCTCTCTTGTAATCATTATTAATATTTGATGGCCAAGGTATTATTCTTTATCGATAATTTTATAGATCATAGTTAATTTAGAATGAAAAAAATCAGAACTGTAATGCAAAGTAGTGCAGCTCCACTTTAAAAAGTGACCTTGTCAAAGAGGTGCATTTTTACTTCAATTAAATTCAAAGTCAGTCAGTCCCATAGGTAATGTTAGCAATTATAAGAATACTTTGCAAAAGTAGTTAAAAAACACTCAGAGAACTTTTATGTGATGCTAGTTTTTAAAGCAAGAATGACTTTCTTCCAAAACTTCAATTCTTTATGAGATCATTTTGGAGTGTACTGTTACATAAAACATGAGGTCAGTAACTAAGGCTAATTAAATTTTAGTAGGAGCAAAAGTCACCGAAAGGTTTTTGCATTCATCCTACCAATTCTAAAACAGTGATACAATACACCATTAATAGCCTTAGAATTGCTAATTATTTCAACATGAATAGCGATATCAACGCTGTCAGCTTAATTTAATACACTCAGGAGAATTCCTGCAGAATGCATGATTTCTCTATTATTTCCTGGTTTTCACAACCATTAAAAGCTATAAATTCTCTTTCTTCAGAAAGAGAGAGAGATTAGTAGTCTAGAGTCTTCTCACTTTTTTGAGAATGTTAAAGTTGTTATTTTTAAAATAAATGGGAAGTAAAAACAGAATAGAAATTAAAGAATGAGAGTACCCCAGGCTTTATTCTGTGATCTAGTACGAGGTAAATGTTCATAACTCCAAAAGAATTAAAACACTCATGCCTTCCATTAGTTCCAATGGAGTTCTCACTCAGGGAATAACCTTAGACTTGGGGTTGAAAGTGTCTTTTTTTTCTGGAGGGAAACTAAAATTAAAGCCTGGAGGAGTGAAAGTTATAAGAAGTTGATTAAATAAACAAGAAGGTTTTATTTATTAGAAACTTTAGTAAGTTAAAAGGAAGAAGTGAGTCACTCATTTCATAATGTACACTATTTAGAAGACAATAGGAAGCAACTACAGTTTTTTTCATGGAAGAAAGATGAGTTAAAATGGATTCTACAAAACATTAATTTGATAGTAGCAAACTAAAAACTACTGGTTTAGACTCTGAAATCATGGACTCTGAGAGTTAGTCAAAACCTTCAAGATCGTCTAAGTTTCTAATGGATATATTTCCTCCACAACATCCCTTATTGACCAATCTTGGTTTGCATATCTCTAGTGAAACTTAGCACCTCATTTTCAGAATATTCTAATTGTTTGAAAATTTTCTTCACACCAAATACTGTCATCCTTGAATATTCACTCATTTGCTGGTTTAGTGTCTCTGTAATGTGGTCCTTGACATGCTTTTAGGTGCCAAACAGGAAAGCATCTTTTAATTTTAACAGTGGTATATATTTCAACATACATTCACAAATATACTAGTGATCCCAACTCATGATTTCACAGATGATGATTGCTAAGAATGAAGTTAAGTAGAAAAAAGTGAGTCCATGTAAAGCTCAGTTGAGAAAACCATTACATAAATGTTAAAATGTATGTGAATATGAATATGGCTGAAGCCGTGAAGGTGATTACATAAAAGGCCAAGCATGAAAAATAGTCCTGTAGGTCTACAGTGTGGGCACCAGAGCAGACACCATACTCCTGCCTAATGGTGGAAGAGCTGTGCTGTCATGAGATTAGTCAGGAAGAGTAAATGAACCGAGACCAGGAGGAGAGGTAGAAAGCTGCTGTCATAAAGGAACAGGCATAGTGATGGCTTGCACTACAGTGGAGGCAGCAGAAATGTTGAGAAAGAAGTCTATCAGTGAGGTCATGGAAAGAACACTGTCCTGCATGTCAGAGGACTTAGATGTTGGTCCAACCTCTCTTCCAATTAAACCTCCCCTTATTCCTACAGGTCTCAGTTTGCTTCATCTGTGGAATGGAGATGGTTTCCTGTGTGAGCATGAAAATTTCTCCCAGCTCTGAAGACCTTTGATTTCGTAAGAATCATTGTGAAGGTGTGGGCTTGGCAAATGGATGGAAAGATGAGCAATGGGAGAGGAAAGAATTGAAGAGGACTGTGAGGTTTGAAGAATGGGTAACTAGCATCATTCACAGAAATGAGAGGGACAAGGGGTGAGAATAATCGGGAATCAGTGGGTGAAGAAAGACTGGTTTGGATCTGTTGCAATGGAGAGGCCAATGACATTTCTTTGTGATGTCTAACTGGTCCGTGGACAGAGAAAAAGGTGAAACTTTGTTTACTTGTCTGTAAAATAGGAATGAGGTGATATATAGAGATGTGGGGATCGCTTACATAGAGATAGCAGGTGAAACCATGGAAGTGACAAAAACTCTCGGTAAGGAAAGGGAGGATAAAAAATGCAGTTAAGGGAGATAACATTTGTTGTGAAGCTACTACGTGCTATGCACATTATCTATTTTATCTCATTTAAACCTCACAAAAATCTTGTGGACTATGGGTAATTCCCTCCATTTTATGTGTTAGAAAAAAAATGATGCTCAGCAAGGTCCCAGATTGCATAAGAATTAACATATTGCTCAGATTTGAACCAGTCTCTCTGACTCCAAAATCTACATGGCGCTGGTCCAATGTGAAACATTGACAATGAGAAGGGATGAGGACACAGCCTAGGAGTTCTCAGAAGGGTGGAAGAAGAACCCTTGAAATTTTGATAGTGCGAGGTCAGTTCAGCCAAAGCTGGACAGAGGGGAAGGAGGGAAAATCATATTCAAAATTGCAGAGAACTCAAGGGGAATAAGAACTATAAAAAAATTGGGTCAGTGGGGGGATTGAAGGAGGCCAATTATGCCACCTCAGAGGTTTCTAATATATTGATTGGGGTGAACCTGAGAAGGAAGGGTGCAGATTATGAAAATGGTAATTATAATACTAAATATATACTGAGCACTTAATATATGCCAGACACTTTTCTAAGTGACTGATATGTATTAACTTTTAATCCCAACAACAACTGGCTTATTGAATGGTTTAGGCTCAGTAGGGTTCAAGGCAGGAAACAGTTTTATCCTCTCCTGATACAGCTTTTCAGTCACATCCCATCATTTCTCCATGACTACTTCTGGATGATATGTTGGGCAAATCTCCTAACTTTTTTGGATCCTTTTCAGGTACTGTATTAGAAACTAACATCCATACATTAATATAATGGATGCCATTTTGTAGCAAAAAATGATGTTCTTTATATAGTGACATAAAATACTAAAGGGGAAAAAGAGCAGGAGAGTGAATACCATAAACTACATGTAATAAAAAAGAAAGCATATATATTCATATTTAATTATGTATGCACTAAATATCACTTGGAATATCACCAAGGAAGAAATACAAATATTTGCTGATGGGAAGAAGTTATTGGCTGGAATAACTGTAGAGGGAGGGAAACTTTTCACTGAATATCTTTTTAGTCTCCTTGACTTTTAATCTATGTGAATGTATTACTATTGATCTCAGTCGGCTATTGCTACAATAATGATGTACAACAACCATCCTCAAACTCAGGCAATATGCTTTGTTTCTCATGCTCATGGGCAAGTGGTTCGGCTGAGTGGCTCTGCATCAGGCTGCAGTTGTTCAGGTTGCCTGTAGTAGTTTGCAAGGGACTGAATATTTGTGTCACCCCCTCCACTACTCAGATGTTGAAAGCCTAACCTTCAATGTGGTGCTATTAAGAGGTGAGGCCTTTGGGAGGCAATTAAGTCATGAAGGTGGCGCCTTCATGAATGAGTAAAGGGGACCCTAAAGAGCTCACCCTCTTTTGCCCATGTGAGGATACAATGAGAAGATGACAGTTTGCCACCTGGAAGAGGACCCTGATTATAAGGGCACCCTGATCCCAGATTTCAAGCCTCTAGAAAAGCGAGAACTAAATTTCCATTGTTTATAAACCACCCAGTCTAAGCTATTTTGTTATTGCAGGCCAAACTAACTAAGATATAGCTCTACTCCATTTGTCTCATTATGAGGTCCCAGCTGGAGGGGCAGTCTTTCTGGGGCATGTTCTTCTCTTAGTGAAGTCAGGAATTTCCAGAGGGTGACAGAAAACACTCATGCTTTCAACTGCAGGCCTGGGCTTGGAATGTTCACATACTCACTTCCAACCCAATGCTTAAATAAGCAAGGCAGCATACTCCTCCAGAGTTAAAGGGGCGTGAGTCACTGCTGAACAATGGTCTACCTGCCTCTTTAAAAAGTATTTTAAGTCCACTTGAGCCTAAGATCAAAATTGTAATCTCTCATCCAATCTCAGACTTCTCCCTTCCCCACTGTGGCTCAGCAGATCAGGCTTGACCCATATTTAGAAATTTATGGTAGGCGTCGGGGGTGGTGGTTCATGCCTGTAATCCCAGCACTTTGGGAAGCTGAAGTAGGTGGCTCACCTGAGGTCAGGAGTTCAAGACCAGCCTGGCCAACATGGCAAAACCCTGTCTCTACTAAAAATACAAAAATTAACTGGGTGTGGTGGTGCACGCCTATAGTCCCAGTTACTCAGGAGGCTGAGCAGGAGAATCACTTGAACCAGGGAGGCAGAGGTTGCAGTGGGCAGAGATTATAGCCACTGCACTCCAGCCTGGGCAACAGAGCAAGACTCTGTCTAAAAAACAAAAAACAAAAAACAAAAAACAAAAAAAAAACAAAAAAAGGAAAAAAAAAAGAAGTTTATGGTAGGGAATGGGACTATGCTAAGTTTCTTTTCTTCTCTCCCTCCTTCCCTCCTTTCCTTCCCCACTTATTTTTCTTTCTTCACTTTTCCTACTTTCTAACCTTCAGATACTACTAAAATTTCTGGCTTCTTAAAAGTTGGGTATAAGAAAGAGGTATAATGAGAAGGGAAGAACTATTTCTTTTTTAAAAAAATATTGCTTTAAAAATTTTTTACTTTAAGTTCTGGGGTACATGTACAGAACATGCAGATTTGTTACATAGGTATACGTTTGCCATGGTGGTTTGCTTTACCTATCAACTCGTCATCTAGGTTTCAAGCCCTGCATGCATTAGGTGTTTGTCCTAATGTTCTCCCTCCCCTTGCTCCGCACCCCATGACAGGCCTCAGTGTGTGTTGTTCACCTCCCTGTGTCCATGTATTCTCATTGTTCAACTCAAACTTAAGAGTGACAACATGTGGTGTTTGGTTTTCTGTTCCTGTGTTAGTTTGCTGAGGATGATGGCATCTAGCTTCATCCATGTCCCTGCAAAGGACATGATCTCATTCTTTTTATGGCTGCATAGTATTCCATGGTATACCACATTTTCTTTTTTCAGTCTGTCATTGATGGTCTGGGTTGCCATGTCTTTGCTATTGTAAATACTGCTGCAATAAACATACATGTGCATGTGTCTTTATAGTAGAATGATTTATATTCCTTTGGGTATATACCCAGTAATGGGATTTCTGGGTCAAATGGTATTTCTGATTCTAGATCCCTGAGGAATCACCACACTGTCCTCCACAATGGTTGAACCAATCTACATTCCCATCAACAGTGCCAAAGTGTTTCTAATTCTTCACAGCCTCATCAGCATCTATTGTTCTTGATTTTTTAATAATCACCATTCTGACTGGTGTGACATGGTATCTCATTGTGGTTTTGATTTGCATTTCTTTAAAGATCACTGATGATGACCTTTTTTTCCATATGTTTGTTGGCCACAGAAATGTCTTATTTTGAGAAGTGTCTGTCCATATCCTTTGCCCACTTTTTGATGGGGTTGTTTTTTTCTTGTAAATTTGTTTAAGTTTCTTGTAGGTTCTGGATATTAGACCTTTGTCAGATGGGTAGATTGTAAAAATTTCCTCCCATTCAGTGGGTTGTCTGTTCACTCTGGTGCTAGTTTCTTCTGCTGTGCAGAACCTCTTTAGTTTAATTAGATCCCATTTGTCATTTTTGGCTTTTGTTGCAATTGCTTTTGGTGCTTTTGTCATGAAGTCTTTGCCCATGCCTATGTCCTGAATGGTATTGCCTAGGTTGTCTTCTAGGATTTTTATGGTTTTGGGTTTTACATTTAAGTCTTTAATCCGTCTTGAGTTAATTTTTGTATAAGGTATAAGGAAGGAGTCCAGTTTCAGTTTTCTGCATATGGCTTGCCAGTTTTCCCAACACCATTTATTAAATAGGGAATCTTTTCCCCATTGCTTGTTTCTGTCAGGTTTGTCAAAGATCAGATGGTTGTAGATGTGTGGTATTATTTCTGAGGTCTCTGTTCTGTTCTATTGATCTATTTGTCTGTTTTGGTACCAGTACCATGCTGTTTTGGTTACTGTAGCCTCATAGTATAGTTTGAAGTTATACAGTGTGATCCCTCCAGCCTTGTTCTTTTGGCTTAGGATAGTCTTGGCTGTAAGTGCTCTTTTTGATTCCATTTGAAATTTAAAGCAGTTTTTTCTAATTCTGTGAAGAATGTCAATGGTAGTTTGATGGGAATAGCATTGAATCTATAAATTACTTTGGGCAGTATGGCCATTTTCATGATATTGATTCTTCCTATCCATGAGGACAGAATGTTTTTCTATTTGTTTATGTCCTCTCTTATTTCCTTGAGCAGTGGTTTGTAGGTCTCCTTGAAGAGGTTGGGAAGAGCAAGTTCTAATGTCTTTGGGGTCTTATGTGTGGCCCAGGGAAATGTACTGGTTCTGTGTTTCATGAAAGACTTTGTGGGTTCTTTTCAGATTCATGGCAGAGACCTCATGCTGCATCGTGCCTTGTTATAGGTGATGCACCTCTGAATAACTACACCTGGCTCCTGTTTCTGGTCTGCTTCTCCTGCCTCTACAGAGACTTTTAGTCTATTCCATCTATTGGGTGGGAAGTTTTCAAATACTGAAGACCTGTTGCTGTATGCAAACTATAGGAAATAAGTGCCCTTACCTGTTGTTGATCAAAGGGTAGCTTGTATCCAGCGTGCTTATTTTCACTGTGTTCACAGAGGCAACTCAAGCCACTCATTCATCATTACACTTTTCTAGGTGAAAGTCAGGTACCAGTTTTAGCATTCCTAAGGTTTTCTTGAAACATTTCCCCAATGTGGCATGATAGTAAGGAAGCACCCCATCCCTTCAAATGCTCAGCTCTAACCAGCTCTTTCCAAACAAATTATCATCTCTCTTTCCTCAGTTTGTATCAAGCCTTTTATTGCACAGGTTGGAGATGGATAATGGGTTAAGGGAGTGGATGGTATCCAGAAGCTTGGATTCCAGACACAGCTCTACCACTAACTATATAAGTGACATGAATGAGAATCTAGTACAATACCATTTTTCTAAAGAAGAGGAAATTGAGGCTCATACACTTTTCATAATTTGTCCTCTTTCATCTGATAGTGGCAAAGCTCTGCCTTAGAATTTGTGTTTCTACTGAACCAAAGTAGCAAGTATCTCCCTATGTTTAAACAATCCTGTCTTTGTGATTTAAGATCCTTTCTTCTTCTTCTGTTTTTGGCAAAGACCAAATCAGGAGAACAGCTGGATACCATTTTTTATTTGGAAACATTATAAATAAAAAGCCTTCCAAACCTTCCCCAAGAGTTAGAATTTCTTTAGAGTCTGGAACCTCAGAGACTCATTTTAAGTCCATTCAAACTACAAAATACTTTGGTTCTGAAGATCTTCTTCTGAAAGACCCCAATAAAGATATCTCCTCACAGCCCATTCTTCAATTAGTCCCTCAGTGGGACTGGAGGGAGATCCACAGAGCCAGCTGGACTTTGAACTTGTGATTCCTAAGGGAAGGTATATTTCAACCCTGATACTTAGATTGCAGGCTCTTTTCTCTGTTAGGAGTTGTATTATTGAAGTAAAATAACATTCTTAATTCTGAATGTCGAGTTCTTAAATGAGAACATACATCTTATTTTTTCTATTTTTGGAAATTTAACATTCATTAAGTTGTTAACCTTTGAAAACTTCTATCCTCCCACTTCCTTGTCTGTCAGCCTAAATCTCCCCTCCTCTCTGTCACAGCCTCTTTCCTTAGAAGGATATATTCTGCTCCTTTAGTGCTTCATTTCTCATGCTTCTCAGCATTCCCTACATTGCCCTTTCTTTGAAGGCTCCCGGATGTGAATTCGCATACCCCACATTCACACGCCCAATTCAGATAAAACAACAAAGTCTATTGTCTTCTGAGAAAAATTCTAACTCTCCTCAGGTACTGTAGGTGTCTCATTTCATATTCCTGCTTGAAAATATAAGAGGAACCCTGAATCATGATCTTGCATTATGCCTCAGAGCAGGCCTTCTTAAAAGTACAATTCCTTCCCTAAAGGAAATGAGAGAGCTATTTAAAACAAGCAATCAATCCATTTAGAACTCTCCACAATCTGAAGAACATTTCTTACAGTTATGAATAGAAGGAAGAGAGGCAACGAATTTTTTAAAAATGGATTTAAAAGGAGACTTTTGAGCCCATCAGCATTCACTGAGTCCAAACATAGAAATTCAATTCAATTTATCATGTAGAGAAAAGATTAATCACTTGCAGGAATCTTGAAATTCGTATGTTGCCTTCAAAGTTGTTAAATGAGAATCATTTCTAATTACCACTATCTGCTCAGTATTAAACTTTTCTACATAATTTGATTGTCTTGCTGCAGCAAGAGTCATCTTAAGTTCCATTTTCTCTCAATCCCCCAAATCCAAGTCCAAAGATACCTACAACAGTTTTTCAGAGGGTTCAAGTTAATCTCTTCTTCTCTTGAAAAGCCAGCACTTTAGAGGCCATAACTATGTCACATGGGTGTCTAGTAGTGTACTTATCTACTGCTTTTATCTTTTTTAAACATTTTATAACCTATATGTAAGAGTAAGGTTAATCTTCTATAAACATTATTTAGGGAATGCCAATTCTATGTGCATTCTACCTACTACATCTTGTAGCTATTTTGTAAGCCAAATATAAATGCCCTGCAGGACTACCTTTCAATTGCTTGGTTTTGGTGTACCTTTTCTTTCTTTCTTTCTTTTTTCTTTTCTTTTCTTTCTTTCTTTCTTTTTTTTTTTTTTTTTTTTTTTTTTTTACTACTCAACATTTGTTTCTCTGGGTGACATCATCTCAATTTGGGTACAGGGGAATCTGCTTGTTCTATTGCATGATCTACTGGGACTATCTATCAAGGTGTCTTGCCCCTGCTATAGCCTATGCTAAAGTCTATGATTCAGTCCTTTTCCCTGGAATTTGACAAGTGCAGAGTGACCGAAAGCCTGAAAGTGGCAACCAGAAAGTGGCAGAAGCTCAATTATCCCTGAGGAGGTTGTCCATCTTTCCTTGCACTCTGGACTTCCAATTTTGCTTAGATTCATCCTTGTTGAGACTGTTCCTTTAGATTTCTTTACAATGTTGTCAGCTATTCACTATCCTTCAAGTAAACTTTGTTTTCTGTTTAAATTAG